TTATATTCAATATCAAGTTATTTTAATAAGAGAAAGTAATGATTTCTTCTCACAAGCTAATTAGCTTATAAATAAAACAATATGTCCTTTTATTTTCTCATTATTATAAATTAACATTGATATTAACTACACCCTGCGATCCAACGTTCGAATAACACAGGCTCGACACCTTTTTCCCAGAAGTCCCTAACTCATGTCCGAAAACTCAAGCGAGAATAAATACGATCGAATCGTCGCGAATTAAAACGAATAATTAAAAAGTGTCGTAAATCAGACTGACGTAGACACGATTTTTCAAATTTTGCTTTAGCGTCTGTTGTTTCATCCTGTTTTATGTGATCCTCATTATTCGTTTCATTAGACAGAGCCAATGGTGATAGTAACAATGTCGATGGGGCTACTTGAAGCTTTACAAGCGACTAATGAAGTTAAACAATTTATCGATATCATGTAGCAACAATATCTCATTAAAGCATTGTAACAAAAGCTAAACGGCAGATTAAAATAAAATACAAATACAAGTCGAAATAAAGTACAAATAGAAATAGAAATAAAATAGAAATGCAATTCAAATAAAAGACAAATAGAAATGGAAATAAAATACAAATAAAATAGAAATAGAAATAGTAATAAAATAGAAATAGAAATAAAATATAAATAAAATAGAAATAGAAATAGAAATAGAAATAGAAATAGAAATAAAATACAAATAAAATAGAAATAGAAATAAAATACAAATAAAATAGAAATAGAAATAAAATACAAATAAAATACAAATAGAAATAGAAATAAAATAGAAATAGAAATAGAAATAGAAATAGAAATAGAAATAGAAATAGAAATAGAAATAAAATACAAATAGAAATAGAACTAAAATACAAATAAAATACAAATAGAAATAGAAATAAAATACAAATAAAATACAAATACAATACAAATAGAATACAAATAGAATACAAAGAAAATAAAAAAAAATACAAATAAAATACAAATAGAATAAAAATTAACGGAGCAGCTGAAATTACGTCGATTGCCCAGTGTAAACAGTGGAGAACGAAAATATCCGTACACCTTTTATAAAACCGCAATACCATTTTTAAAACCGATCTAAACAACTTTAATTTTTTACATATGTTATTACAGGTCACTTTACTGCGCATTCGCTAAAAAAAAAGAACCTTTTCCTAATTGTTCCTATTACTTAGAACGTCAGAAAACAGATAAAAAAAAGACTCGCGCTTTTTAATTTCATAAAGTGCAATTCAAAAAACGTCATTGCTTTTATCCAGTGTAAATCGGCGACAGATTTGCATAGAGAAACGAAAGTCGAAAAAAAGCTCGCGCCGGCATCTCGCGGCGGCTCGTTTCGATCTTCCTCTGTCCGCGTCCCGGAGCGGAATGGAAAGCGGCGGAAACCGAAAGTACGCTATTCTGGTGACTCGATTTCCAGCCATATCGAACCGGTTCGAATCTGGCCGACGCGATCTCCGACCCTAAATCGTAAATACGTCTCCTCCACAATTCACCGGGCACGTCTTCGGTGGCTGGCGCGTGCGCGTCCCGCCAGCCCTCACCGCGGGGGTGGCCTGTTACACGTGCAACACCCACCACCGTCGGGGCTCTGTACGTGTCCATCGTCTACGAGAAGCCTGTTTCCCGAAAACTTCTCAGCCCCGCGATTCTCCTCGCCGGTGAATTAATTCGTTCGCGTAAAGCGTTGCGCGCGCGCTTAACGCCGCGCCGGCCAGCAACGTTTCTCGCCGCGGAAAACGCGTGAATGATTAAGGCACTCCGTCGAAGTTTCCGCCGAGAGCGTTGCGAAATTTCGAATTAGCCTCCTTGGTTCGCCGAGTGCCCTTTAGTATTGCTCAAGTCGAGTCACGAGCATCCCTTGTGTTTGTGTAGGTGGCCACTGGCGCGCGTTGGTCAAAGGCGACCAGTTCTGAATTCCTGTGCTTTAGAATTATCGTGAATGCGGGTAGATTTAATGCCAAATTTCTACCAAATGAATACATTCATTTCGGACGGGCTGATGATCCGTCGCTCGCCCGTTGCCGAACCAAAATTTCTCGCGAATCTAAGCTTTTTTGTCGCGTCTGTACTTTTTTCTTTTGTGTTGTTTCTAAGTCGCGCGTCTCGTCTTCCGTGAGAATCTTGTCAGAAGGGTTTTTTTCTTTTTTGGTCAAACGGAAGACAAAACTTCAGTTTTATGGTAGCTAATATTTGAGCCGTTTATTTTGAAAGTGGCACAAGTCACTTTACCGTAATGAAAAGTGGTGATTTTTTAATGTTTGTACGAAATTATTTATACTGAGAAAGATATCAGTATCCTGAGATAACGAATACAAGTAAATCTTCTCGAAAGTTAGCATCCATATTTTTAAACGTTTTAAAACGCAAACCCTTAAATATATCGACTTAAAAACAAAGTGACTTATGCCACTTTCAAAATAAACGGCTCGTTTGTTATGTTAATATTTATTATGTTTTTTATATTTATGGTAGACAACGAAATATGTTGATGAGATCTTTTTTAAATTTAGATGGTAAACTGTTTTCCAGGAAGAATTCCGAGCGTTATACATTATCGGATTTATAATAACTCTCGAGTCGATATATTAACCCTTTGCACTCGAGCGGCGAGTCTGAGGCGCCACTAAAAATTGTTACACCATTTTTCATTGCATAATTGTAACAGTATCAGATTTGTTGTATTTAAAGAAAACTGTTAAAATTGCAATTATTGTACCTGCCAATAGGCAGAATTTCAGATTTATAAACTGCACTGAATTGTGTAAAATAAAAATACTGCAGATCAGAAAGCATCTTTTGGATTTCGAATTAAAATAGAGCTCCGTCTGCAAAGGGTTAACACGTTCAGCGTGTTAATATTTGCATTGTTTAACTGTGTTTAGTGTTTAGATTTTTGATCAATTTTGAAAATTCGTATATATTGCAATATACATATTCGAACAAACTGAGTTCGACTAGGATGTTTCGAATGCGAAAGAGTTCTAATTCCGTTCGCTATGATAAATTTTAACTTTCTAGTTTCGGTTTCATTAATTAAGTTGCTTTGACTTTGCGAAGCAGAGAGACAGAGAGAGAGAGAGAGAGAGAGAGAGAGAGAGAGAGAGAGAGAGAGAGTTGTGCGAATTTTCGTGGTTGATTGTCGGCGTTGAACGCGTTAATGCTAACGCGAACTGACTATCTCGACTAAACTAGCTTTTTTTATAAGTAAAATCTTCGTATAAGTTTTTAGAATCTTCAGATTCGAGAAGAATTAAAGAATTAAAGTGGAACAGTGCAAGAAAACTGAAGAATAGTACGAAATTCAAGACCTTTTTCGAATGCAATGCGCGCAGATTTAAAGTCCGATAAAAATCGAGAACAACTAGATTAGATAGATAGACTTTTCTAAATTATTTATCTAAAATTCTTTGCCGCCTGCCAGTCGTCCGTCTCGCAACGAAAACGTTCCGCAAATAGAAAACAGATTCAAGCATCGCACAATGTCGATAACTCTGCACTTCCAAACTATTGTCTGATCGCTAGACTGCACATTTTATGCATTTATGACAAAAGTAAACGGATGCGATTTGAAGCAAGTTAAAACAATCGAACGATATCGATGTACAATTTTCAACAATGTATCAACCCCTTGCCGAACTTCGACGAGTCCGACTCGTCATGAAAATTTTTAGTAATAACTCATTCTATGCTTTAAAATTGAAATAAAATTCTTGTCATCAATATTTAAGCACTCGATTAAATTCAGTCACACAATAACCATCAATTCTCTTTCCCTCCTAAGAAATCATTGCGATCGAAAAATTTCTAATCGCAATAACTGCGAAGAAAATGTTATGTCAAGGGGTTAAGATGATATCGATATACAATTTTCAATTAAAATAATTTCTAGTAATAACTCATTCTATCCTTCAAAATTGAAATAAAATTCTTGTCATCGATATTTAAGCACTCGATTAAATTCAGTTACACAATAACCATCAATTTTCTTTCCCTCCTGAGAAATCATTGCAATCGAAGAATCGCCCTAACTGCGAAGAAAATGTTATATCAAGGGGTTAAGATGGTATCGATGTGCAATTTTCAAGTAAAAAAATTTGTAGTAATAACTCATTTTATTCTTCAAAATTGAAATAAAATTCTTGTCATCAATATTTAAGCACTCGATTAAATTCAGTCACACAATAACCATGAATTCTCTTTCCCTCCTAAGAAATCATTGCAATCCAAGAATCGCACTAACTGCGAAGAAAATGTTACATCAAAGAATTAAAGAAAGAAGGAAACCCTCAAACGAGACAATCGTTCTTGAAAACAGATACAGAAAACATTTATTCTGCATATATAAAGATCAGCACTCTATTCCTCGCTAGACAACGGATCTCCGTGCAAAACCAAGACAGCTGCGTCAATTTTACGAAACAGAAGCCACTTGGTAACCCTTCCCTCCTCGTAACAATCGTTCCAAGTCGAGAACAAGGTATCGTCACTCCTTAATCCCGTTTCAACCGCATCCACTTCCGTCGTAAATGCGTAAAACCTTCGCGGAAACTTCTTCGACTTCCACCATCGGAAAATAAAACTACCGAAATATCCCGAACCTGTCGGTGCGTCGTGGAACCCGCGCCGACCGAGTCATTCAAGAATACCAAAAAGAAAAAGAAAGGAAAGGAAAAAAGAAAACCGCGTATCACCGTGCAATTTCAAGGTTAATATTAATCCATCGGTCGTCTGGGGTCTCAGGCATCGGACTGAGAGGGTCGTCGGCTCTGCGAGGGGTTAGTGTACGCGCCCCTCGCATGGCGGCGTTCCATTCCAAGGGTTCGTCTCGCGGCGGCACGGTGCCGAAGGGGGTAGGGAGGGTGGTCGGGGACGCGGTTATCGGGTCGGGCGCAGGCGCAGAACTTGGCCCGTGGAGGGGACTTCAGTGTCATTCGGTGCCGGGCGTTGCGGCGCCGTGGCCCTTCAGTCTTTGATCCGCAGCTGGCGCGGTTGTGTGCGTTGCCCTCGAGCGTACTCGAGCCTCGAGACGAGAGAGAGAGCGAGCGAGCGAGCTAGAGAGAGAGAGATCGTTTTCACCGTTCGTGCGCGGAAAGAGGGGAGAAAGCCCGAGCGACCCGGTGGTGCAGTAACCTTTCAACCCTCGCGTAACACGGTAGATCCTCTGCCGCGTGACCGGAACTACCACCGGCGGAGGCTGCCCGCGATCATCTTTAGAGCAACCCCCGCGTCCGAGCCGCGCGCGACCAGTCCGAGAAGCTCGAGAAGCTCTCCGCGGCAATCTCTCGAGCCTGCGGCCGACACCGTATCGTCATCATCGTCGGGGCTCGATTACTCGCCGGCCTCTCGCCGTGTCAGGTCGGTGTCCCTTCGGCCCCCTGGGATTCTCGGGGGCACGCAGCTCCTCTCGCGCGCTCCGAACCAGCACGGATTTGCGTGCGGTTCCCGGCCCCCTGACCCAATTAGTTGCCGGTGCCGAGAGTGTCTGCGCGGCGTACGGGGACGTCCAACAGCTAGTTACTCGCCGGAGAAACGAATTGCCTCTGTCAACGGGACCCGTCCACGCAGCCGTGCACGTGAAACATTGTGTTAACGAGGCTCGTTAACCCGCGCGCGGAGAAAGAGAGAGAGGGATATCTCGCCCGGCGGGTCTCTCTCTCGGAGTTGGTGAGCGACAGTGGCACCGGTGTGAAAAGTATACGTCCGTCGTCCAGTGTTTACAGTGTTCACAGTGAAGCAGGATCCCCGGGATCGAGGATCGACCGCGACAGACAGGATATCACCGACACACAGAGAGAGAGAGAGAGAGAGAGGGAGAGGAAGAGCGACAGAGGCAGAGAGAAAGAGGAGAGGACTGTGTCGCGCAACAGTGAACCCCCTTTTCGAAGAGCATCGCTCGCGGGCCGGGAGGGTTGAACTTTCTCGCTGGCGTTGACAGATCGATAACAAAGTTTGCGTACGCGAGTTTCCCCCTTCGTTGCCGCCGGCTGGTGATACGCTCTCGCTACCTTTTTCGTGGACGCGTTTACACCGGCTACGCGCTGACACCCAAGTGTCCTTAGGCGAATCTCTCATATCAGATCCATCCCCCCCAGTCGATCGTTTGTTTCATCGACGATCAAGACGTTCGGAGGATCGGTTCAGTCTCGAAGTTCAGTGCCGAGACAACGAACGGTTTTTCGAAGTACCGGCCCGACCGTCTCGCCGATACTTCACGATTCACCCTTTAGCGATTTTAGAGGATACCCTCGAGTGGACCAACCTTGACGCTTCCAATTCGTAGACGATGCTCGGTGATTCTGAGGACCAACTCGCCCCGTCTAGGAGTTTCTTATAGATTCGAACTCGTCGATCAGGATCCTCGACGTTGCGGCGAACTCTTCGACTCCTCGCCATAAGGATAAAAGCAGCCGTCGAAGTACTTTCGCCACGTTTTAGAAAACAATAGCAGGCGTTCCCTCGTCTTCGGAAGCCTCTGGCTCCTGGTGCCGAATATTCGGAGCACCGGAATCTTCGCGTAGATCGTTGATATCCATAGTCCAGGTGTCATATAAACCGTCGGATCTTGGCGACCAAAGAGCGATCTTTCAAGCTCCGAAAGAGAGAAATTTAACCAGTTCGTTCGATCAACTTGTCTTTCGGGCAGTTCGCGGCGAGTCTACGCGCTAAGAGCCCGCTGCGAAGGTGGTGCGAAGAGCCTTCGGCGAGCAGCCGCTCTCTCGTCGACGATCGAGAGACGATCGGAGCGATCTTCTAAACGCCGGAAGAGCGCCAGAAGAGAGAAATTTCACCAGTTCGTTCGATCGACTTGTCTTTCGGGGCAGATCGTTGCGGATCGCGGCGAGCTGACGCGCTAAGGTTCCGCCGCGGGGGTGGTGCGAAGAGTTGGTCGTTGGTCGTTCTATGCGGGTCGCGACCCCTCCGCAAATCTGACGCCCCGTCGCTCCAGCGAGCGAGGCAGCCTGTCGTTGTCGCTGCCCAGCAAACGGCAGTACCTGGTGAAATACAAGCGGAAGGAGGGCAGGCAGCAGCAGGGCGAGGAACGGGGCTCCGCGTGGCCCGGTCTCTCGGACGATCGTCGTAAAAAGTGTGCAACGGTGAAGGGTAACGGTGGATTCGGCGACTACTCGGCCGCGGGCGAGTTCGAGGTCTGGGGCGACGACCAGCACGCGTCGGATGGTGTAGATCGCCAGGTGAGGCCGCCTTCGCGGCAGCAACGATGCGAAGGCGGTTCGTCGCTGAGGCCGTTGCTACACGTAGCCCACTGTGAGCTCCACTCGCCCCGCGAGCCCGAGCTTCTACGGCTGGACCATCTCGAGGCGTTGGACCACAAGTCCGCCGACCACGACTCCTACAACATGATGGAGAACTTTCGCAGCCCCGTGCCGCCGCCGCTCCCGCGACGCCACGTTCGGTAAGAGATTGTTTCTTTCGACTTTTCCGTCAACGATCGCCAACGGCCGGACGAGCATGTTCGAGGCTCGGAGCTCGTGTCGCGATGAAGCGATCGTGGCCAACGCGATCCGTGCGGAACAGTGACAGCACTTTTCGGTGCAAACGCGTTTCGAAACCACAGTTCGGACAGGTTTTTAGGGGATAGTTTTAGGGTACCTTGTGAAGTGGAAACGTTGGATACGTTCTAGATGCGATTTCTTTAAAGTGTCGTTGCAGGTGACGAACGTGGAATACTCGGAGAGAGTGAAAGTGTGCATCTTTGCTTACGGTTTTGTTCGTCTGGGAGATTTTTCTGCTCGCGAACGCATCGTGTTTCGCTTAAGAGTTTTCGCTTAGATCGGCGAATCAGTGGAGGATCTCTGTATAAAATCGTGACGATCGGTCGTATGGAAGTCGTGGTTGATGTTCTAGGTTGCTAAAAAGCTGTCGGGTATCGTTTTAGGGTATTTCGGGATGCGGAAATGCTGGAAATGCTCGAGACGCGAATTTTTTAAAGTGGAATTTTTTTCCTCGCGTGGAAAACGATCGCAAAGCGAAAATGTGGAGACGCGTGTCTTCGTGTACGTTTTGTTCGCCTGACAAAGTTTTCTGTTCGCGATTGCATCGGATTCCTTGATGTTCGACTTGCGAGATGATTGACGAATTAGGAGAGGATTTCTGTAAAAATCGCGAGGGTCGTTCGTATGAAGATGGTGACAAACTTGCTAGGTTGCTTCGAATTCGTCAGATATCTCTTCAGGGAATTATTATGGCGATTGGTGAAATTAATCTAATTTTGTTCGCGAATGTATCGGATGCGTTGCTGTTGAGCTTGCGAGATGCTCTCCTAACTCGTCGAGCATCTCTGTAAAAATCGCGAGGAACCTTCGTATGAAAACGGTGACAGACTCGCTAGATTGCTTCGAATTCGTCAGATATCTTCTCAGGGAATTAATATAGCGATTGACGAATTGTGCACGTGCCTTCGCGACAAAGATTCGCGCACGAAAGGAAGTAGAAGACAGATTTCTCTAAGGAACAAAAATTCGGCAGGTATCGTTCCAGGGGACGATTATGAAGCAGTCGACGAAGCGAGAGCGTTTAACTTTCTTCATCTGCATTCTCTTCGTGGCGACACTTCGCCGTTCGCGAATAAAACGTGCCCATTCGTCAAGCGTCGTTTTCGGGGACGATAATGGACTTCGCGGCGATTCTCTGCGAGAATAGCGATGATCGCGCGCACTTCGTTCTAGAAACAGAAGATTTTTGTACAGTGCGGCGGAGTGACAAATTTCTGGGATTATCCAATGTTCCTCGGGTGACGCGTCCGTGGAGGAATGTCCGGCAATTTGTGAAGCAGAGAATGTTTTACCTTCGTTCGCTCGCGATTCTCTTCGCGACTGGTACTTTTGCTGGGGCAAAAGAACGGTCTTCGTTAAAAGTCGCCTCGAGGATTGACCGTGAGCGATGCGACAAAAAAAAAAGTGTCATACGGTCGAACAGCGTCTCGTTTCATTATAAATCGACCGAGACTGCTCGTCGCGTTCTACGTTCGCGACGGTTTAAAACGCGCGGAATTCTGCCGGTGTTAATTCGCGCGAGGAAGAACGTCGAACTGCATCCGAGTTTCAAGTTCATCTGCCGTAACTTTCGAGGAGCGGTTCGCCGAGCGGTTGTGTCGGATTTCTGTAAAAAAACATTACGACGATCCGCTTCACCGCTTTACGCAAAGCGCGCGGAATTTTCGGAGCGGCGAACGTTCCGTCCGGCGTCCTTCCGGCGAACGATTAGCAATCGGCGAAGCGAGAAACGCCGGAGACCCCCCCGTCTCTCTAGAATTTCCTTCGCGCGCGCGCGTCAGAATTTTTCCGAACAAAACGTGTTCGTCGGATGTCGTTTAGGGTGGCCCCGGGGGTGAGTGGGTGGGATGATTACGGAGAGCAGCCGGTGAAGTGGAAATGTTTAACCCCCTCCGGAATTTCTCTGTTCCGCGAATGAGACGCGTCTCTCTGAGGTTTCTTTAATATAACAAGCGGTACGGAAGTTGTATTAGTCACCGGGCCAGAAAGTTTTCTAACATGAAAGTTTCGTTTGCGGGGCGGGCGATTCTTTTTCCGCGGTGAAAACGTGATGGTTGCTCCCGGCCGCACGTGGAATGCACTCGTTATTGAATCAAAGTTTCGAGTCGTCCGGCGTGTGTTCCGAACTTCGTGCGTCGGATCGAAATAGTTTCCGCGACGTTTCTTAAGAGATTAGACCAATTTCGTCGAGTTATAATTCATCCCAGATATGCAACGTTCGCGGAAACTCGCTGCGGATTCCTCCGAGGATTTCCGGGCCGGGCGTCTCGATACAGTACCCCGCAATTTTCCACGCTTTTTAATGAGATTAGTTATCGATCGTTTTCATGGTTTTCGGCGATGTCTATTTTTTAGATATAAAAATATATATATATATATTTATAGAAGATATATATATATTTATTTATTGTTATATAATATATATATATATATTTTTATAATATTTCTCGTCGGCTGCTTTTCGAATGCCAGACACTCGTGTTCATGCAAAGACACTATAGTTCATTATTCCCTCCCTCCCTCTGTCATTATTTTAAGGTAATTTAGTTTTGAAATATGTTAAACAAAAATCATGCTATCCAGTGCTGTAAAAGTGCTGCTAATCCAGTGTCGAACAAAGGTTTTCGGGATTTTTTATCGTGTTAGAGCGAAACAGTGTTATTATAGATTAGAGTGCTATATGAGGATTCCCGCAATTTATACTATTGTGTTAGAGCGAAACCGTGTTATAGCATGCAGGATAGAGAATAGGTGCAGCAGAAGGACTTCCTGTTCTCCTCATATCACAGTAGTGCATGAATTCCGTTAGAGGAGCGAACGTATTTCGGCGATATCGATAAGTAAGTATGCAAGCAGGTTCGCAGTTCGCGAATTTCTTTGTTTGAAAATAATCAGCAGGAAAGTTAAAGGGGGCAGAGTTTCCGCTTTGGTCTCGCTCGCCGGCACTGATTCGCCAAGTGTACAAGTGTCTGCGACCCGCAGGAATTGCGGTGAATTTTCTATTTATTGGAAAGTTGATTTCTCCGAAGACTTTCGTCGCTCTTCGCGTCCGGGTTTGTTCGATAATAAAACCGGCCGACTTTTCATCGCGGAATTGAATCGTCCGGCGCATTCGGGGACTGGCTTCGGATCGCTTGATTGAAACCGACGACGACGACGACGGTCCGAGGTCCGAATCGATCGTTCGCGGTTTAAACAATCCGCGAGAAATTCTGTTAACCCGCTCTGTGCGACACTCTTGCGCTTCGAAGTCGTTCGTTTCGATGCCAATTTTTCAATCTATTATCTTACTTTCTCCGTCGCGTCTAAAAATCTATAAATCGCTTATACAGGGTGTCCCAAAAATGTCTCGCAATCCGAAAGTGACGGGTTCCTCAGGCCATTCGAAGCAACTTTTTCCTTTACAAAAATGTTCTCCGAGGCACCGTTAACGAGTTATTAACGAAAAACAGTGACCAATGAGAGGCGACCGAGCCAATGAGCGGAACTGGGCTTCCCGCGCTGGTTGGCAGGGGCTGCCTCGCGTCGGTCGTGCTCGATTCTTATTGGTCACTGTTTTTCGTTAATAACTCGTTAACGGTGCCTCGGAGAACATTTTTGTAAAGGAAGAAGCTGCTTCAAATGATCCGAGGAACCCATTTCCGGATTGCGAGACATTTTTGGGACATCCTGCTCGTGTCTATAAATCGTCTATAAATCTCTTACGTGTAAATACGTGGCGCCTGAAATTCTCTTTTTTTTTCTCTTTTGTTTTGTTTTAAATTTAATATTTCTCGAAGTTCTACGACAGCGTACTCTTGGAATCCATTCCACAGGAAGCGAAATTTTGCTTCTTTCGCTTCAACGTTGCCCGGGAAAATTCTATCGCCGCGCGAAATGAAACGAATTGTTTTCATTCTTAATGCAGCGAATCGCGGGGATTTTATTTTTACGGCGACCCAGTACGGTGACTGTGCACGCGACACAATAATTTTCGCGTGATATTTTCGTGGCTCCTCGCTAGAAATTTTCAAAGCTTCCGGTGTTACAATTAATACTTTATTTTCCGTTGCCGCGGTGTTTTATGGCCGTCGTTTGTCCTCTGAAATTATCCGCGGGCTATCTCCGCCGACCAAAAGGAACGCCTTGTCGATGAGACCACACACAGAAACGAAACGTGTATTGTCACCGGCAGCGATGCTCCGCGAAAACTACGTCGTTGACGTCGCGGCAAACGGTATAATGAACGACGATATCCACAAAAAGACACCCCCGGTTCCCCGTGGCGGTGGTGGGGATGGTTTGGCGAAGCAGAAGGCTGCCGGAGAAGTAGCAGCGGCGTCAACAATTAGCCTCGGAATATTAATCGACAATTATCTTTGAAACGGGGCTCATTATTTAAACTGAGTTTATCGGTACGCTCGCCCGCGCGGCGTCAAGCAATTCCGGCGAGGCCGACCGATAGACCGTGAATAAATAGGAACCGTTGCAATTAGCTCGCGTCATTTTCCCCGCGAAATGTTCATCCGCGATAGCGTCCATATCCTTGAGACTCGAATCGATGCGCGGACAAGCTTTTTCCGGCGGAGCTTTATTTAATTAGCGGACTGTGCGGGGTTCTGTGCAAAAAGTACAAAATCTCCGAGACGATTCTGACGAGCGGAAAACAGAAACGAATAAATCGTTTCTGTTAATCGGTTTAGGAATCTGAGGATAGTGTAATTATATTATTAAATTCTTCTTGCGTCTTCAAAATTATATATTTAATTATTAGACAGCGCTGCGACGAGACACTCTGACGTCTTTCGTGTATAGTAAATTAATTTTCCCTAATTGATGTTCGAATTGTACACAAAATTATATATATATATATATAATATTATATATTATTTATATAATAAACAAAAATTGACAATTTGTG